AAGCAAACTTCTCATATCTTTATGATAGGAGGTAGTTTTGCAACTTGGAGCAAGATGCCTACCTAAGTTAGGCAGCTCCCTTCCCACAGAAACTGGGAGACGGGGGTGCTCTATCTCTTGATGTTCGCATTTCAGAGAGATGGCTCCCAGGTCTGGAGAAAGAAAAGGCATATCTAGTCTTCTAAAGCTTTTATGAATGTTTAAAAGAGAAGAGAAAGTGCTTAAAATTTTTTGAAAGTAAATGCTCTGGGGAAAAGGAGGGGAGGGTAATCTCTTCCATTATTTCCAGCAGGGAGAGCTAAGTTTCCTATTTTTAATTTGCATTTGTCCTTATGATCTAGAATCCATAGTTAGTAAGACCTAGATCCAGAACGTGCACCCAGATCTGTCTCCCCCAAAGTCTGGAATATTCTACAAGGCGGGCAAATACAAAGCCCCACTGTGATCTGCCTGAGTAGACTCCGACAGCCGACAAATAGCAATAACCACCTCCCCCCATTCCCTTTGTGTCCCAGCCTTTGTTCCCTCCTCCTCTTCATGTCCCCCCACCCAGCCCCACAGGCCTCTTCTTCTGCCCACAGCCTCCAGCAAGGTCCATGGAATCTGAGATTCCATTCCCACAGTGGCCCAGGCCCAAAGTCAACTCTGAATCAAGAAGAATTAGGAGAAGAGGATCACCCAGCCCTTCAAATGCATTCACAGCCCAGAAGAGTAGGCTCAGCAGCAGAGGATAAGCAGATGATGATAACAGCAATCATAATGACATGATATTAACTCCCATCTCACGCTTGCAGAGAGCTCTCACAAACACAATCCTACCAGACAGTCACATCCACCCAGAGATGCAGGCCCGGGGTGAGCACTCATGTCTGGCAGATGCGGAACCTGAAGCAAGAGAGTCAGTGTGAGCGCCTGAGGTCCCGAAGCTGCGGGGGATGGAGCTGGTCTCGGAAGCCGCACATCCAGGTCTCTTTTGGTTTCCACGTTGTCTTCGCACCACCTCCTTCCCACCCACAAGCAAGCCTTGTGATCATGGACAGCACGTTCCATCTGCCCTTTTGACGGATGAATGACTGGATCCCCCTCGTGTGTTGGGGACACATAGGGAATTCTATTTTACAGAATCCTCTTGTTCCCTAGGCATCCCCAGCACACAAGGGAGATCCATTCACTCATCTACAAAAAGAGCAAAGGGGAAAAGGGGCACATGTGTATGGTCACAGATGGCTACTAGCCTTTTGGCAGTGAACATGATCTATACAGAAGTCAACATATACTGGCATACAGCTGAAACTGACATAATGTTATAAAGCAATACGACCTCAACAAAAAATAAAAGAAAGAAAGAAATTCTGTGAAGGTGAGGCTGGCTTTGATTCTCCACACAGGAGCCAAAGTGAGTCTTTGAAAACCATCGCTAAATAGTGTCACAGCCGTGTCTCTGTAGTCTCACCCTGTACCATCTTCCCTCCTCTCCCTGCCCCGTCACCAGCCTCTTGGCCACCCTGGCTTTCCTCAGTTTCCCCAACGCTCCAAGTGCTCTCCTGGTCCTGGTCTTTACCTAGGCTGTTCCCTCTGCCAGGATCACTCTAAGGGACTTCCTCATGCCGCCTTACAACAACCACAGGAGGTTGGCATCACTAAGAATCTTTTCTAATCTAACATAGAGGAGTCAAGACTTGAGACAAGGAGGCTCAAAGGGAAGAGAGTGAGCAAAGCACAGAAACCTCTCTGAGTTTGTTTTCCCATAATACCTCCTGACTGAAGTGCTTTGCGGATTCCAGGTAATCCCATAAAACCCCCAGGGAGCACCTGGCAGGATGAGCACCAGGTGAGCGTTCCTGTCCTTCCCTAAGTAGAAGAGGAAAGCCCCTCACAGATTTGTAGAAACGAAGAGATGGAAATGCCCTTCGTCCAGAGGTCAGCAACGTGGACCCATGGGCCAAGTCTCACCCACTGCCAGTTTTTGCAAATAAAAGTCTTATTGAAACACAGTCACGCCCCTTCGCTTACGTACCACCTGTGGCTGCTTTCACGCTACAACAGCAGAGTTGAGCAGTTGCGACAGAGACCGCATGGCCTGAAAAGTTAATATTTACTAACTGGCCCTTGGCAGGAATGGTTTACAGACCCTTGATCTCATCTAATCTCCTCATTTTACAGCTGAGGGAACAGAACATCAGAAACGAGAAGGAAAAGTCCACAGTCACCGAGCAGGTCGGGGGCAGAGCCAGAACGAGATTCGATTTCTACGGTCGGGGGCCTCATTCTACCAGAAAATGAAACCAACTCATGCTTGCCTGGTCCCTAGACTAGACATTGGAAAAGCCACAGCAACTGGCATAGGGATGTTCTAGGTTTTTATTAACAGCAACAAAAACAATTACCGGGAGTGTAAAAAAAATTTTTAACTGGAATCTTTCTTCAGGGGTTGTGTAAGGAAAGAGGTGACGTGATAAACTCATTACCCAGGTCAGTTGCAGAGCAGAAATCAAAACTAGATTTGAGAAGGTTTGGGATAAATGCTTTCAGGTGAAGTGTCCATAAATATGGCATCAGCTAAATGTGTCATGGTGTCACCAGGCAATGGAGAAGTGCAGCTGCCACTGTTTTTAAAAAGCGAGGCATCTCCCTATGTAAAGAGAGAGGAATTCTCTAAGACATATCATTAAGCAAAAAAAGCAAAGGGCATAATAGCGTGTAGAATATGGGCACTTCATTTTCTGGAAACACAATACATATTCACCTAGATGAATGTGTTTATAAACGTGTAGACTGTCTCAGGAGAGGACGAAAGAGACTGGGAACTCTGCCAGCGTCCCGGTGGAGGAACTGGGTGGCTGGACGACAAGGGAACGGGAGACACATTTTTAAAGCTTGATCCCTTTGTACAAAATGGATATGTTCCCTATACAAAGAAAAATGGAGACAGTTAAGTGTTTTAGGATCTTTAGACTCCTGGAGAATGTTAGGTAGATGCTCATCTTGGAAAACTCATGGGTCAAAAGCTCAAATCCAGATTGAATTCTGGCCTAGCTGTTTCTTAGCCATGTTACCTAACCTCCCTGGGCCACAGCTTCTTATATATGAAATGAGCTCATTAGAAGTAAAGTACCTAAAGTGTCTGGCAGGGGTGGGGGGGGTTAGTAAATGGTAGCAATTATTATTATGATGACCAGGGAACTGCCCTGCTCATGGAAATTATGTCACAGAAGACAACTTCTCTGCCTGCTCTGCAATCTGCCATTACCAGGCCAGAGAGCAGGGTTTGGCGCTGGAGAGCTTTGCTTGGTCTCTGATATTTGTGATCTGTGTCTGTGCCTCCTTCTCCACTCTGTGTTGTGAGCTTGTACCCCCAACCCACCCTCCAATCCATTCTTTACCCATCTGCACTGGACCACAGCCTGGGCCTTCTTTGGGCCCTTCGTGGCTTCCACTGCCCTCAGGATGGGTCCACAGGTTCTCCTGTGGCCCACAGGTGCCCTAAGGCCAGGCTCCCATCTTGCCCAGCCTCTGCTCTGGCACACACAGGTGTAACAGAATGCACAACGCTGCCTCAGCCCCAAGCCTGGCAGCCCCTAGAGTGAGCACTCAGTACTGTGCAACGAACTGTCAGGGATGCCATAGAAGACACTGCTTCCCGGGGTGCACCACTGTCCCATCTCTGTCCTTCCCCTCCATGTCCTACTTCTAGAATCATCTACACATATTCCCCCACGTCCTCCATGGTCCCCTCCAATCTCATTTCCATCCCTTCCTTAAAAATCCCTGCAAGGCTCCTGGCCCTTGCTCTCTGCACCCCTCCTCCCCACCCCCCACCCCCACGATGCCCCTGAGCCTCTCCACCCAGACCAACCAGACCCCAGAATGATGCCAGCTCAGTCTTCAGAGTTACAGAGGATTCCACCACATCACAGCTGTGACCTTATAATAACTTCTTATATCCAGACACCACTCTAAGCTTTTTGCTATTTAGGGTTTTGAAAAGAGTAAATGAGATCACACTTAGAAATTCCTTAGCGTGGCGTCTGACATATAAACACGTGCAGTTTATGTTTGCCATTATTGCTACATGCACCGTCTCAGGGAATCCTGGAAACTGCACCATGAGGAAAATATTATGATTATCTCCATTCTAGAGATGATGAAACTGAGGCTGGGGAAAGTTAAACCACGTGCTCAAAAGTCACCCAGTCAGAATGTGACATTGGGATGCAAATCCACCATATATGTTCCTCCTAACCACCAGTCTAGTCTGCTTCTGGTCTGAGCTCAGAGAATTATTTACTTCCTGGGGTGGTCAGGAGGATTTGACAATGACACCCTGAAAAGTGCCTGGCACATAGTAAACCCTCAGTCGATGCCAGCCCCCTTCCTCCCCTGGGGGCACCTAGCTGTCTCCAGCACACAGAAGGCACTCACTGTTTGCTGGATGGAGTGAGGGATGGAGGGAGGCACACAGTCCCCAATTTCCCTAAGCCTTACACTCCCCGTCTATAAAACGGGAGGTGAACACCCTCTCTCCGTAGCACTGTGCTCAGAGTTCAGCAAGGAGATGTCCAGAAAGCTGTTGTCATAAAGTAGACGCTCAACAGACAGGATTTCCCTGCCCCCCTGCACCTTGGGTGAGCCCTTTTATCTCACTCAAGCTGTTTCCTCTTTTGGAATGAGGATCACAGTGATGATCCCCTTTCAATGTGGTCTAGAGGAAACTGACAGTTGAGGTAAATTGCAAAACCCTGAGCGTGCTCAGTGTCACTGCCCCTGCTGTAGCCTCAGGAAGTCCTGGCAGCCCTGGCAGAGGAGCCCAACGAAGGGCAGAGAAACCAGAGGCGGTGAAGTTGCGTGCAGAAAGACAAAGGACCAGAGGGCGAGCGAGCCGTGGGTGTGAATCCCAAACATTCGCGGCAGCTTGGAGCTGGCAATGCCAGGATGCATTCCTTCCCCTGTTAAAATAAACATTACTCCATGCCCAGCACCGCGATCTCCCACGTCCTCACCTGACAGGCCACACACTGCCGGGCTGTGGCTGCAGAATGGCTGCAAGAGGTCATCTCCCAGCCTGGTGTCCTTAATGAGGCCCGGCAGCAGCCAACAGCAACAAGCTTGGGTTTTGCAATGGGTGGGGAGTTCATTCCATTCCCTCCACCCATTTGCATTCTGAAAGGGCGGAAGTCTAGAAGCAAACTGTGGACTGAGGAAGCCTCTCCTTTTGGGCAAAGGAGGGGGCCTCTCGTGCGCTTAAAGGATCCCTCCCCATCTGCCGCTGGTCATAAAAACACACAGGTGGCTTCTGTTTGTCACTGAAGTGATGAAACCAAAGGGAAGCTACGTGGAACCAACAACACATACCACAAGCATTTATTGAGGCCAAAGAAAAAAGGAAAATGAATTGGATAGCTTCTTTATGTGTGTGGTCTTTCTAAGCATCACAATAACCCTAGGAGGAGTCATTGTTTGCTTTTACGGATGAGGAAAGAGATCCACTGAGGTTAGGTGACATGTCAGGCCACTAGGAAATAATAGAGCTGGGATTTCCACATCTGCTCAGCTGCAAACACCACATTCTTTGCTCTGCACCACTCCAAATGTTGCATGCAAAGCCCCGTCCGGTGCACCTTGGAGGATGATGAAATGAAATAGCCTTGGAATAAAATATTTCCGGGTTGGATTTATTCCTGTGCCAGTACAAACAGAGAGAAGCAAGAGGAAAGGATAAGGAGGCAAATGTCTGTGTATTTCTCCCAGAAGTGCCGGAAGGACGTGAGGGTCATAAAACATTTATGCCTTTGCAGTTGCGGCATTTATGACGGCAAGAAATGGATCTCTCTTCCTGTTTATGAATATACTAGACAGTGGCTACGGAGTACAGGAGAAAGGCTAAACGGGCTGTTAGTTAAAACACACTCAAGGGATTTTTCTGGGGAAATGCCAATAAGAGAATCTCAAAGACCATCTCGCTTCAAATTCCATCATCCACTGTGTGTGCCCAGTTCACGTTCATGGGGCTCCTGATATGTGCCAGGGTCTGTACTTGGTCTAAAGGTTCAGAGCTCAAGCGCTCTGTTTACTCTTTGATCTGTGGCTTACAAAGGCCATAAAAAAAGTGGCACCCTCCTTTGGGAGTTGCTGGAGTATTAGTTGAGGAGCACACGCAAATGCCAATAGGGGACCTGGTACCCAGCGAGAACTCAGAGAGTGGTCTCCTCTTTCCCTTCATCCTGCCTTCCTCCCCGTTTGACAAATTAGAGTAATTCCAAAAATGCCTATAGCCATAGGTCATAGTTATTTTGAGTCAGGGATTACCAATCAACATACGAAAAATAAATGAGAAGGGAAAAAAAAAAGAAAATTAAATAAGAGTGAAAATTCTCCTAACTATAGGAACTAAGGGGAAAAGGAGCAGCTTGCTTGGCTTGGGCTAATGAATGCTGATGGTAGCAGACATCCCCCTGTCCACTAACACAGCATGCCCATGGCATACCAATTTGCCTCTTCTGGCTCTGACTCCTGGCCAACCCTTGCAACTTTCCACAAACATTTCTAGACCCACGACTTGGCTCCAAGCAGAGCCTGATGAAAACCTTTAGAGGCCCCAGGACTAAAAGATTATGGCTACCCACCTCTCCATAATTAAAATTTTTTTAATTTAAACAGAAACTCAAAATTTTGCATGTATTCTAAAAAAAAGGTCTCTCTCCTAGTTTTTCGGATTGCAAAATTCTGGCTAAAGTCACTGAAGCTGGATCTTACTGCATCTTCTGCTCTCTTTTCTGTCTGCCTGTTCTGCCTGCCAGACAGACCAGCTCTTTGCCTGCATGCAGCTTGAATTCTACTGGAGAGAGAAAAACAATAAGCACGTAAATAAATAATACCACTGCAGAGAGTGATAAATGCTCACGAGGGAAAATAAAATTGGACCCTTGTTTTCAGCCAGTGATTAGAAAAGGCACTGAAGGGGGAATAAATGATGTTCTTTCGGGGTGCTCTTGGACTCCAGCTCTATTCAGATTTGGAAGTTAACGTTGTAGTGACCAGTGTCCCTCAGGAGCCACCATCTCCTTGGTGCCCCAGAGTAACCCAGAATCAATGGAGGTGAGTCAAGGTGAAGGACAGTAAGAGGTTTTATTGATCTAGTGTTGCCAGCAACCATCTGGAGAGCAGGCATTGAGCCGGCTCAAATACATAGATCTTTCCCCAAATAAGCTACTCCTTCTTCCTCTCAAGATTCCTCTTCATTCATTCCTGCTTCCTATCACAATAATCTTTCTCCCACGGTCGACAGAGCCATCATCAAGAGAAGCAGCAACGGAAGGCTTTAGATGTTGTTCTTGGAAAGAGAGTCCCAGAGGACGTTCTTCTTGGGGACTCTTGGAATGTCGTGGTCTTCCCATGCTGTGTTAGGCCTCCTGACTCTTGCATAAGCTGTTGGTCTTGTCTGGAATGCTCATTGCCTTTTATCACCTGGCTAATACCTGGGAGACCTCTAAGACTCAGTTCAGGGTAATTTCCCCTGATTCCCCCACTCTGGGCCAGGTTCCTGTTTTCTGAACTCTGTGTTTCCCCTCTGTCATAGTGCATGAAACTACTGATACTTGTCCATCCGCCACACCAGATAAAGAGCTTGTCCAGAAGATGTAAGGTTCAATGGCCCAGGGCTTGGTCTTCCGGAGTCAATTGACCTAGGTTAAAATCCTACTCCTCCACTTTCCAGATATAGGACATTGGGCAAGTCACTTCACTTCCGTGAGCCCCATTTTCAAGATTAGGGTGAGAATAGCCTCTACCTTAGAGAGTCCTTGCGAAGCTGAAGGAGATGATGCCTGTGAATGGCTTAGCATAGCACAGTGTCCCATCTCATTCAAAAAACAGTAGCTACCCTTACTGCATTTTTCAGGTTCCTTGAATCATTCACTGTGGTTGCCTCATGGCTGGAGCACAGAGGACTTGGAGAGGAGTAAATAGCGGGCAACAAGACTTGGGGGGTAAATTGGGACTTTGAATGCCAAAATAAGTATTTGGGACTATCTTGATGGCCATGAGGAGCCATGGAAAGTTTTATGAGCAGAGTTGTGTCTCAATAAAGTGATGCTTTAGAAAAAGCCCCCTGAAGGCAGGCTGGGAGATGGATTAGAGAAAAGGAGAAAGCAGAAGCAGGAAGATCTGTTAACAGGCTGTTGGGAGAATCCAGGAGAGCAACGTGCTGGGGCCCGGAGTAGAGGCACAAAAGAGAAAAACTCCCAAATAGAAATGACAGCTTGGCTTCATGGAAGAAGAAAAGCTAATTTCTGGCCTGGTAACCGATGGGAAGCAGTAGTGGTGCCATTAATAGAGTTAGGAAGCAGAGAAACAGGAGCCGGAAGTCATTCGAAGTCATTCAAAGACAAGATCTTTGCCCTTAAGAGGGCTTCCAGTAGAGCTCAGGTTGCCTGGCTTGGGAGTAAAAAGAGCCTGACTGTCTGGGCTCCAACATGATCACTGTTGTCACAGAACTGCTACAGACCTAGACTCAAAAATGGCACGGCTACATTCACCTGACCACACATATGGGTATAGACACACCCATGCACACAATACCACAGCACAGACACATGTAGATGCACAGGTGCAAAAACACATCGATTCACACACTTTCCCACTGATGGAGCTGTCTTCTGTCTTACTCACACAGACACACAATTCCTCATTCACAAGTACACTCTCACACACACATACGGGTTTTAAGATGTAAATCTGATCAAGCGTCCCTGGTTACATGAGGATCACCATTTGTGGGGACTGTGTAGTTACGAGAACCAAATCAGAAGACTCTGGGTTGAGTCAAAATCCTATCTGAGAAGGTTTTTTGGAAACATTGTAGAATGTAAGATGGTGATTTTATTGCTCCTGAGCTTTCTATTCAGGCATGTGAGTGGCGGTGCCTTCATTTCCATGCATTCTTTGCACTGACTCATACATTTTCTGAGTGGATCGTTATCTCAAAGCTGGGGGTTATCTAGGGCTACAGATGCTGTTATTCCCATTTTACAAATGGCGACACCAAAGCTCAGAGAAGAAAAGTGTCTTGATCAAGATTATCATGTTAATAAATGGTGGAACTAGGATTCAAATTCAGGTCTGTCTGCCTCCAAATCAATTACCCGTCCACCAGCACATGATATCTGAAATGGCTCACAGACTAGGATTGTAGTGATGAAAAGTCTTCATCTCTTGCAAGGGAACAAGGAAGAATTGTTGAGGCTGCTGAGAAGGAGAACATAGCCATTATTTCTTTTTTGGTATCACTTTCTTAAAATAGCTCCAATTTTTAAATTGCGGTGAGGAAAAGAAAATAAAGCAAGTGTCATTTTTCGTTCAAATAACAGAAGCAATGACAAGATGTCAGAGTGCTCTAAAGCAGAACAAGAAAAGCTCTTAGGATAGAACCTTCAAGTTGAGCTTCAGAGACAAGCATAAGAGAGAGAAAGCTCTTTAGGGATGCTGGAGGATGAAAGGGGAAAGCTTGGGTACCAGATTCCCATCCCCAAAATATTTCACTCCCGTATCCTTCATCTCAGAGTGACCGGGCAGGGTAGCAGCAGCATCTTAATCATTCCCATGCCATGGGAAGCTGTGTGGGTGTTGGGGTCAAAAGGACCACAGATGGTCTGAGCTATATCTTTCTTTCCTAACAGACTCCAAGAGAACAAGAGTTTGGATCTTCACATCAGCGAGCTTGTAAGTGTGTTCATATCTGATGCCTTTTCTTCTTGGGAACAAAAACATATCTAGTAGTTCTGGGATGTAGGAGGTTCAGAATGTTGTAAACCCAGAGGAGAAGTAAGGGTCTTCTTCAGTCACTAAGAAGGCAAAATGGTGCCGTGACCAAATTCACAGCCTGTGGAGTCGATGGTCTTTGGGCAAATAATTTCATCTGTCTGTCTCAGTTTACTCACCTATCAAAATGATTATAACAGTGTCTATCTCCCAGGGTTAGTCTGGATTAAATTAGTTAATTCCTATAAAGGTATTAGAACAATGCCTAACACATCAAAAGTACACAATGATTTTTCCTTTTTATCATCGACAGCATCATCTTTATCACAAAGAACACATTCGTCTATTATAATCATCCCTGAGAACCAAAAGGAAATTCTGGGGTCTTCTGGAGAAGTGACAGGGAAACAGCAGAAGAGAGGAAAAGGGACGTGCCAAGATCACATAGCTACAGACTGCTTTCCATCCAGTTCTGTCAGGCCATCCAGTTGCCTCAGTGTCTATAGTTAAAGGGACCATGAAGAAGGCCAAAGGCCAATCAGCTCCCACAGAAGCAGTGGGAGGAAAAGAGAGGCAAAGTGAACTGTATTGAGCACCAAGCATGTGCCAGGAATCTTCTGAGAACTCTCCACCCGTGGTAGGAATTGATGTGCCCACGTTAGATGTGAGAAAACAGAGTCTCAGACAGGTTAGATAGCTTGCCCAAAGTCACAGGGCCAAGATTCATTTGTATTCAAGATTCCTTCTCCTGAGGCTCCCGTCCCCTCAAAAAACCTGCAAAGATTAGAACTGAATCAAGCTGGAGGAGAGGAATGATTCTCTCCGGTTGCGGGTGCCACGCAATCCCCAAATTACTGTCTTCCCTTCAGCCACCCTCTGACTCAGCATTTTTCTCCCATCCTTACAGACCTTCCTCCCGAAGCCGGTGGAGGTGGAGATAAGCCGAGGGCACATCTGACAGGTAATTCCCCCTGCTGTGTTTTGCAGGAGACTAAGGGCCAAAGGTCTGGGATTTCTTTCAGAGTGTTTGCCAGAACTCACTCTGGGAGCTTCGATTTGGAAACCACACCCCCTGGTAACAGACTCCTCCTCTCAGTTGAAGGTTTTCAGATGTCTTCCTCACTTGAGGGGTCCAAAGGCAAATGTCTAGTGGTGTTTTCTTTCAGAATCTATTAGCCTTCTTTCTTTTTCTACTGTCGCTCTCTTTCATTCACACACTCAGTCATTCAGGAATGGCTTTACTCAGACTCAGAGATTCACATAATTCTAAATCTGGTCAAAGATGAAACATCCCCTGAGTTGCCAATTTAGGAGTCCATCTGTGCCCTATTCAAAATGAAGTTATTGGACGTGTACATTCGGGTAGGTAGAAAAGTCCAAAGGATTTGCATTGATTTGAAGACATGAAGAGCAATCTCACAATATCACCAGTTAGCCAGCTTCCCAAGTTTACTATCAAAATTCCTAGCATCTCATGCCTAGAGTTGCATATCCATCTAAGACTATGAAGAAAAGAGCAAGACTGTGCAGAAGGATGTGCTAAAAAGCCATTTGAAAACTAGAGCTAGAAAGCAAGCCTACCTTCCTGACCTAAAGGAAAATTTGCAACCCACGGAGGGATATCCTTGTGCCCAACACATTTGTCTTAACGTTTAGCCAAGAGGAAACTGTTTGTGGTGAATCCTGAGTGAGGATTAAGACCAGGGAGATGTCAAGTTGCCATCACTTACCACTTGCCTATAAGAATGGGAGGGTTTGAAAAGGCTGGGTGGGAAAATCCTCAAACCTGAGTGTGGAGATGCCAACCCTCTTCCTATTGAATGGGGAGAATAGAAATTGGAAAGGGAATCTA